GAGAGCTGGAAATAACTTTATTAAACACCAATATTTGCTCAATTCCTGCTTGTTTGTTGCCTGTGGCTTTCCCAGGTTGGCAAACACAGCCAGGACATTCTCAGCTCTTCGGAGAGGCTGAGGGGAAATCTGTCACAACCCCAGCCCCGGTGGATCTGCTCCCCAACAGCTGCTTCCTATTTCTTCATTCAGGGAACAAACACAGCCCGTGGGAAATGCCCTGATACAAACAATAAATACAAATAATAGAGGAAAATTCCTGCTCCGTTTTGGAGGAACATCCCTTAAAAATTCCAAGATCATTGAGTATTTTTCCATTGTCTTTTTTAATGTTTTAATATAAGATATATTTAATAAGATAATAAGATAAGATACGTTTAATATGTTTAATATATTTCATATATTTCATATATTTCATATATTTAATATATCAGTGAGCATTATGGGGCCTTGCTTTTACAGCTTTTACTTCTGCAGCACTGCAAACTTTCACCTCCTTGCATTTTATTTATCTCAGACTTCCCCAGGGTTAAGAATGAGCTTCTGCATTCTCTGATCCTCTGGGCACCTTCCAACATGGGCTGCAATTGTCAGCATCAATCCCTCCCCAAATGAATGTATGGTGGTCTGACCACTACTCATGGTATTTGGGAAAGCTTTATCGATATTTAATTATAGAAATTGTAATTATATAAATGAGTGTTTTCACTGGAAAAGCGGCCAAAAGTCTGCAAAAGTGTTTAGAAGCCCTTTTGAGTCATCACATCAGGGGAGGGGGATTATTAGTGTAGAAATAACGTGAATTATTGTAAATAGAGATATTTAAAACAATAATTGTGATGTTTTCTGGGGAAGTTACCTGAAGTGTCTTGTTTAATAGTGTTGAGTGGTTGTAAGGAAATGCTCTCATAAAAATCGGTTTGTTTGCAAATAATTGTCAAAGAAGAAGCAGCAAATGGTTTTGTGCAAATTCCTGGGAAATCAACAGAAAAGTAGAAGATAAGGTGGTAATCCAAGAGCCAGAGTTGTAGCAGGATTGCTGGAATATTGCTCAATATGAACCACAGTTAACTGAGCTGCATTTGGCTACAGCTGTACAGGAATGAAGGCAATGCAGGTGCAAAGACAAAAGCATTTTGATCTTGGTTCTGTGCCAGGGAAATCTTGTGAATGTGGTCTGGAAAGACAGAAAATTTAGGGAAAGGATACTCAGCGAAGAAGGATCAAAAAAATTCACCTAAAATCATCAGTCTTAAGAATGGAGCATGGAAAGGATCTTAAAATCTCCTTAAGGATCAACCTTGTGATATCAGAGTCTGTCTTTAAATCTTGATTTTTCCTCTTGCAATTCAAGGAGTTGTTTTCAGCAGGATGATTTCCTTGGGACTCGGCTGGGGCTGTTCTCAGGCTCCTGGCTTGGCTGTGCTCTGTCCTGCTCTGTGCTCACATTCCCGAGGCTGCCAGAGCTCCAGGAGCGTTTGGACAGCGCTGCCAGGGATGCTCAGGCTGGGATTTTGGGGTGTCTGTGCAGGGCTGGGAGCTGGACCTGGATAAACTTTGTGGGTCCCTCCCCATTCGGGATTTTCTGTGATTCTCTGGTTCTATTCCAACATGACTTTTCTCTGATAAGTGCATTTCCTTCCAGCCACAAGCACCGAGTGCTCCTAAAATCGTTCAAATCTTGTCATTTATGTCTCAGATGTTGAATTCCTGTGGCTCACTGCAGTCCTATCCACAGGCTTCTGAAGCTGGCTGCACTCTCTGCGTGGAAAAAGACCCCCAGACTCCACTAAGGGTGCTCTTAATTCACATTCAGGGCAGCTTTCACTCTCAAATATGCTGCTACAAAGCAGATTATTCCTAGGGCTGTGTGAACCAGCACAGGTATTAAATTGGAGCTAATTCTAATTACCCGTGTTGTAACAATTTTGTCCCAAGGTAATAATGAGGAGGTTTTTTGCATTTCAGTAACAATTAGTTGGTCTCTTTAAGGCTTTCATAAATTCCCAGATTCCTAGATTAAATCCTAGATTTTTCCTATTCCTAGATTTGTTTATAATGTATGGCTTTCCATAGATTTTTGAATTTCATCCCTAACACTGACTGCAAGCACATAAAACTACTGCAACACACTCCAGCATATCCAGCTCAGTGTTCATTTAATTTCTCCCTGTTCCTTTCATTTTTAAAAAAATCAATTTCTATCCACATTCATCTGATGAAAGAGGGCACCGCAGGGCACAGAATCCAGTGCTGGTCCTGCTCGTTAGAGATCACAACCTGGAGCTAACTTTCTGATTAAAATACATTTTCCCTGTTCTTTCATGTTATCATTTGTTTCTGACTCAGTCGATGGTTCAATGTTTGCCACAGACTGTGATTAAGGATGGGTGAGCCCAAAAAAAAGATAAAACAAGAACAAGCCTGAACTCTTACCTGGAACTTATCTCCCGTGGCATTATTTATTTTTTTTTTTTTAAATTAAGGAAAGTGGGTGGTGAATTATTGGAGAAAAAATTAGTTTAACTTTCGATTTGACAGCTGTTGGTGGAAAAATGGCATTAGGAAATGCTCCCAAAATAAATCCCACAAGTTGCTTCCCACAGTTTGACTTTATCTTGTGTAGACTTGTGTTCATGGACAGGGAAATAAAGTGTTTTGTAAATCTTTGTGAAAGAACTACTGAAATAAAGACAGAGAATGCTTCATTGTATGGAGAACTGTCATTTCCTGAGTCCCATTCTGATTTTATTGGAAAAATTGTGTTACATCTCCCATGCAGGTTTTGGTTTTGAGTACACACTTCATTGAATTATAAATCATCCTCAAATCACAGAATATTCTGAGGGGACATGCAAGGACTGAGTCCAGCTCCTAAGTGAAGGCTCAGACACCCTCAGGGTTATTTCACACCCTCATTTGGGGCAGAGCTGGTTGCAGGACCAGCTGGAGAAGATTCTGAGAATTACTGGAGACCGACTCACCACTGAATTCAACAACCCCACTGCCTCTGAGGTTGGAGATGCCCAGAACAAGATGTTCTTCAAAGAAATCAGCGCTCAAGGAGGGTCCAGTGCCTTTAGCAGGAATTGAGTAAAATTTCTGACCCTCTTCCCAGCACAGGCTCATTTCTTCTCCGAGGGCTGCATGGCTGTTATGAAACACAGCGTTTCACAAAATTAATGCAGAAATTGGAAATGGGTGTTCATATTTGGAATAGACTGAAATTGGGGAAGGGAGCTTGGGGTGAGCTCAGTGATATAATCAGACATCAGAGAAAGCACACAGGGGGTCAATGTTATACAGGAAAGCCATAGCAAGGAAAATTAAAGTAGTTCAGTGGGCAAAAGAGCTCAGCATTTTAAGGTCTTCTAAAATAATCAGAATTTCAGGGTCAGGGATTCCCCAGTCCTTTTCTAAATGTGGTGGGTTTGTTGTGCGGTGGAGGAGCAAAAAGGAAAAAATCCTGAACCACACAATCATGGAATATCCAGAGTGGGAAGGGACCCACGGAGTTTATCCAGGTCCAGCTCCCAGCCCTGCCCAGACCCCCCAACATCCCAGCCTGAGCATCCCTGGAGCTCTGGCAGCCTCGGGGCCGTGCCCATTCCCTGGGGAGCCTGGGCAGTGCCAGCAGCCTCTGGGGGAAGAACCTTGCCCTGAGCTGCAGCCTGAGCCTGGCACAGATTCACACCCTTCCCTCATAAAGTGCCGGTGGAGCCAGGAAAGGCCAGCTGGGAGGAGATGTGTTCAGAAAGGAATATGACCCGAAATTCCCAGGCAATCCATTTTTATCCTTATGAGCATCTTTGCTCCTGAGGAAGATCCCAGGAGCAGAGGTTTGCGCTTTCATGGCCCTCAGAGATGTTTGGGTAAGTTTTGCTTTCTAAAGCATCCAACAGAAGAGCGATTTCACATTTTATCCTGGAAGACAGACCTGAAAGTTCAATCTTCCTCTTTCCTCCTCTTCCACCACCTCACCAACAGCAGAACACAAAGGGAAACAAACCCTGAGCGCAGCGGGCTGGGCACAGGCAGGGGAGAGCCGGGATTTTAGCATCAGGAGGAGGGAAATGGGAGCTAATGAGAATCCTTTAACTGTGATCTTCTCTTTCTTGCCACAAGCCTCAGGTTCAAGGGCACTCAGAGACAACCAAGAGCCCTGGAAAGGTCCTGGCTGAGCGCCCTGTGTGTCACCGATAGCTCTGGCTTGGGAAGCCCTGAGCCTCAGAGAAGTGCTTGGGTTATCTGTACACACAGACAGCAGCGTAATCTCTTTTTATCTGATCTGAGAAGAAAGGGAATCCCACCTGTCCTGTCCCTTTTGGGCTTTTATCTCTCCTATTTTAGGTTGTTGGGGTTTTTTTTGACAAAGACTCAGGCTCACTTTTCTCGTGAATTCCCCACTCTCCTGCCTGTGGCTCTTCAGAGCAGGAGGGCAGAAGGATGCAAAAGAGATCACAGGCTTGAAAAGATGGGAATGTGCCAGATCCTGTGTGTAAATCTGAATTTTGCAGTTGATTCCAGTGGACTGGGCTCTATTTACGTCAACATTAAACTCATTAATTTCTGTAGGACTCCCTAGAATTTAAACCCCCTGATTTCATGTCAGCTTGCAACTATTTCGCAACGTTAAAATAATGGGGGTGAGGGGATTAAAACTCCTGATAATGCACTCCGCTGATGCCGTAGGGAAAATATTCTGCTTTCTGAGTCATTTGCCCTGAGCTGACTTTCTTTTCTGAATGGTTCAGGGGGTTTCCTTCTTTAGCCATAAATCGCATGCAAATTCTTTGTGTGTGTGTGGATGACAGAGTGTGTGCGCCTTTCAGCAGCCACGCCAGGGAGAGGAGAGGCTGTTCCTTTAAAGCAAAAAAAAAAAAATTGCCTTCAGGCGTCCTATTACAGTGGAACGAGCCAAGGATGAGGATTTGCAGCTCAGCTATATAAACCCAGCAGAATCTGGCTGCTCTGACCAGTTTGCCTTGCTGTCAAAGCTCGCTGCCTTGCGCTCGCACACACGGACAACGCAACTCCGCCGAGTTTTGACAGGACAGCAACAAAAGTCAGGAGCGCAGAGCTGGCTTTGAACAGCGTATTTATTTCATGGAGGCTGCTCACAGCGGGATCTAAGCTCCGCCAGAGTGGTTAAGGTAAGTCTGATTCCTCCCTGAATTAAAAAAGTCAGGAGCTGCTCTGGCCCAGGAGTTCGCAGTGACCCCATGCTCCGGCATCCCCCCGGGGATGGGATGCCAGGAAAGGGGCAGGGATCCTGGTGGGAATAATTTGGGATTGGAACATGCCTGCCTCGAAGGCTGTGTGCCCTGTGCAGGGTGATCATGTAAGAAACGTCTCGATGACATCCACCCGACCCAATGAATGAATGGCTGGATGCTGGGCATCCGCACAAGTACGGGCAGAGGCTGGATGGACAGGCAGGCGAGGAAAGCAGATTTGGGATTTCCTCTTGGCTCCTGTAGTGCTGTAAGTGTTTCCCCCATCCTCACCTCGAGAACCAGACTAAATCCACTCGCAGGTTTTAACCCTCCCAAGCAACTCTTCTTGTGCTCCTCTCTGTGACCTGATGAGAGCCGGGCCCTTCCCACCGGTCATTCCCTGTCCCCACATTCATTTTGTGTTTTTTTTTGCTCCAAAGACTTTGTCACCTTCCTCTCCACCCCCACTGGGCTCCAGTTTCTTTTAAAAGTGCGGTAATATTAGCCTGCAGTGGGGAGCAAAGCACAAAGGAAGATTCAACTGGTATTTTATTACCAGTGCTTTGCTGGGTGGGTTCTGGGAGCGGGAGGGTGAAATTCTCCATCCTCATGGAAAAACAGAGGCACTTGCTCCGAGTCTCAGCTCCTCGCTCCCTGGTGCACTGAGATTTTCTGCATGACTGTGTCTGCACTTACCAGCGAGGCTCAAATTGGCTTAAAAAGGAGAAGCTGGCTGGGAGAAGGTGAACACATTCAGATTCGTTTAGGAGCTCAACCCACTCACTCAAGACTTAGTCTTACATCACCTTCGCAGAGTTTTCCCTGCCTGATTTTCTGTCTGGCTACCAGGACAGAGAGTTTTTGGCAGTGAATCTAAACTTCTGAAAAGTCTGTCTCATACTATGGGAAGGAATGTCCAGGTTGAAATGGTGGTGATGTGTTGTGCTGCACAGTGGAGATACAAAATTAAAAAGTGTAATAAAAACACTTATAGAAGTTTTCTTAATAGAAAAAACAATGAGGTGGATGTGATTCTATGGTCTGGGTAAAAGCCTTGCTGTCCAGCTGTTTGGTTTTTTTCTCCTGATTTAATTTTTTAAGACTATAATAAATATTGGGAATTAATTTTACACACTTTCCAATTAATGTTACATGTGGGGGGCTGTTTTGTTGCACTGGGTTTGTGCATTTGCCTTTTAAAGCTGTGAAATCTTGAATGGTTTGGGATGGATGTGACCTTGGAGAGCATCCAGCTCCAGCCATGGGCAGGGACACCTTCCACTAGCCCAGGTTGCACAGTTTAGGGGTGCTGGAGTCCAGAAATGATGTGTACAATGGGAATTAGGGACCATCCTCTGAATCCTAGGGAAATTTGCAAGAAATGCGATTTCATTTGGGTTGTTTCTTACTGATACAGGGAACTCAGGGACAAATTCATCTGGTCAAATTTCTTCAGATTCAAAGTGTTTAGCCAAGAGACGATAACTGGTCTGTGTGCAGCTCAGTTTCCCTGGCAGGGGATTTGGGAAGCCTCTGGAAGAGCTGGCAGGGTGTTCCCAGGGCAGGTGCTGCCCCATGCTCAGGGAAGGATGTGCCCCTGAACTGGAGCGATGGGACAGGAGTGACGAGGGCTGTGCTTCCCATCACTGACCCAGTCACTCTCCCAAGTACCAAATTGGCATTCACTTCCCATATTTTGTGCTCATTAATTTTATCCTCTGGCTCCTTTCAGCCCTGAGAAATTTCTTTGTAAGTCCCAGCCCTTAATCCTCTCACTCCAGTTACTTTATCAGTGTTTCCAGAGCGGTGGAAGAGCCAAAGGATCTGCTGCAAAGCCCCCAGCATGCAGATGAGAATGTCAGGTCTCATGTGGACAGAAAGCAGAAATTCTGCTAAAGAAATCCCTTCCAGGTACACAGTGGTCATGGGCACATGGAAAAGACAAACAACCAGACCCAAATTTCCTGCTCAAATAGTGATGTTAATGAGGTTAGAACTTACAGGGAAAACCCCTAAACACAGGCTAAAATGTGCTCCACAAATTCTGAGTAACTGTTAGCTGGAGACTTTTTGAAAGCCATCGTCTTTTATTATCCCAGCTCTTTAAAACTGGATTATTTCTCAGTATTCACTCAAAATTAACTATCATGTTGCTATAACATCATTTCTAAAGGTATTTGACGTTCAGCTTATTTTTCATATTAGTGCTTTTTATAAAACATCTAAAAAAAGCCAAAGACTATTCATGGGTGAAGATGTTCTGACTTGCTGTAAAGAGACTGTCAAAGTTTGTTCTTGAGCATTGTCTCACTTTCTAATAAGAAAATGAGATTAAATGGCAGGGTCTGTGCTTTTTGGGCCTTTCTCGACTTTTCAAGAGTCAGGCAGAACTAAAAAAGCAGAAATGTCTGTGAAACAGTGATGCTGCTTGGGAGCCAGAGCTTTAACCCTTTCATCCCTCCTGGCAAAGCCATTTGGAAAATGCCTGGCTTGGCCAGGTCTGTGCTGTTTTCCTGGTACAAAACCACGGTGCCTCTGCCCACCCAGCCTTGTAGGATGTGTCCAGTGCTTTAAGTGGTGCTGATGGCATTTAACTGTCCTGGGTAGGACAGTGGGTGTCTGATGGAAATGGATGTAAGGGGGGAACAGTTTCCATCCAGTCCTGTATCCCTTAGAGAGCCCTGGCATCCCTGGAGGAATATTATCTTTGGAAGGAAGATTAATGCAGAGGGTGGTGTCTGCTTCGTTATCAGCTGCACATTTACCTCTGTGCCATCAGAAATCCAGAGTGGCCAAATAATTACTCTCATTTGAAGCCTGTGACTTGATAAATTCCTCCTTGGCCTCGTGCCATCACAGTCTGCTAAGCTGAAGGGCCACTGACAGTTTTAAGGTCCAGTGCCTCATAAAACTCCAGGCTTAAGAGTGGATGATTTACATCCCTGGAAAGTTCGAAATCTCAGCTTTCCAATAATAAAAGGAATTTGTTTTGAATTGTGTCAGTTTGGGATACAGGGCTTTGAAACTGGGCTCTGATTTACCAGTGTGTGCTTTCTCAGACTGAATTTCTGCTGTGAGTTTAGCACACCCCGCTCAAAGACTGAGCTCTGATCTAACCCTGTGGTTATAAACTGCAGAAGTCTGAAACTACTGTAAAATGTAATAGCTGCCCTTAGTGGTTTTAAGGAAGCTGCTGATGTCATATTGCAGAAAAAATCACTGTTGCTGAAGTGGGAAACTAAGGAAGACAGCAATCTAAGTGAAAGGAGTTAATATTTTGTCATCTGGCAGGCTCAGAAATCTTCAAAACTGCAAGCAATTATAGGATTAGTAACTAATGAGTTCTGGACAGGAAACGCCATAACCTGAGGTCAGGAGCTCAAAATAAGGGATGTGTACTGATTGCTTATGAGTTTTTAAGATGCAATTTAGTTCATGAAACTGTTTGATATTGAAGAGGACTTGCTGTCCACGGTTTTGGTTGGTTGATGTTGAAATTATTGCTCCAGCATTTTAGGGTCTCGCTGTATTAGGAGTGAAGAGGTTTAATAAATGATATTCTCTGCCACAAAGAACCTGCAGTTCCCAATATTAACTAGTCCCAAAAGGATCTTTTTATGGTGAAGAGAAAAAGGAACTAAAAAGGCAGTTCTCTGAGGAAGGGGACTGCTGGAAAGCAGAGAAATGAACAACCTTGAGGGACAATCTTGAGTCGTCGCAGTTTCCACCGAGCTCAGGGTTTCTGCAAGTGTGAAACCTCTCCTCCCTCCGTGCTCGCTGTCCACCCGTGGGTCTGACCCTCTGGCCAGTCAGAGCTGGAGTTAAAAGCCTTGCACATGTGGGAAAAGTTAGAGACTGGGCATGGTTCCAGCTCCTGAAATCCCTCAGTGCATGATGTAACCCCACGGTGTGGAACGGAGGAGTCAGTGGGATCCTGCCTGACAAGAGGTGGCTCTGGAGCCTGCAGGAAGTGTCTGGGCTTTGAAAGAAGGAATAGATGGGGTTCCTTCTACTCAAACAGCAAAGTTTGAATAATTTAGTGTCATGTTTTAGAATTGAATGAATGGTAGATGGGCCCTTATAACTAGAATTGTCCTTAACATCATTTCTCTCTCCTATGTGCTGCCTGTCCTGTTACTGCCCAAATAACATCAGAAAACCTCCACCTGTACCTTCAGAGAGTATATCCAGATGTAGAATTCACATAATACTTATTAATATAAATTCTACCCCCCAACACACCCCTCCTGTACCTGTGAGGTTCTGCTGCTCCGGCTGGGGAGTCAACGGGAAATAACTCACCATTTATGTTCTTGTTTGGCTTATGCATGAGCCAATCACCCAAGACAAATCCATCCTGAGCTGATCTCGTCCCAAGAAATCTCTCCAAGCTCCCATCCCATAATTGTCTGCAGTTTCAATTAAACGAAGGTGGGACAGTGCCAAGTTTTCAGCTCTTCCAAGGGGAGAGCCCCGGTGCCCGAACAGGCAGTGGCATTTTGTATTCTTTGGGGAGCGGAGGGCAACGTTGCCAAGTTTGCATTCAGTCATCCATCACATATTAGCCCACTGGAGGTCCATTCTTCCCGAGCAATGGGGGAGCTCTGCTTCCTACTTTAAAAGATTACTCACACAGAAATCCCTTTCCCCAGCCCCAACCCCGCACGGGCCGCAGAAAGGAAGCTTTTCTTCCACTCATACAAGCGCTGCCTTTCCAAACTCCCCACAAAAATGATATTGTTTCATGCTCAGAAAACATATTCTCTTCAGCAATTGAGGAGAAAGTACAGGGTGGTAGGACAGAAACCTTAAATACAGATTTTTTTTTTTTTCTCCAAAAGTGCTTGCTGGAATCATGGGCTCAACAAAGGTCTATTGTAGTGGCTGCCTCTTCCCATGGCAGGCTGGAGCATTGACGATGTGTGGACAGATATTGG